CCCCTCCCCTGTGGCCATCACCACACTGTTGTCTGTGTCCATGGGTTATGCACGTATGTTCTTCGGCTAATCCCTTCTTTCACCCATTCCCCCGCCCCGCTCCACTCTGACAGCTGTCAGCCTCTGTTCCCATTTTGTTCATCAGTTTATTTTGTTGAGTAGATTCCACATATAAGTGAGATCACGTGGCATTTGTCTCTCTTCGGTCTGTTTCACTCAGCACAGTAATCTCCAAGATTGCCTTCTATTTTACGGCCGTGTAGTCTTCCATCCTAGACATGGGCACATCGCAGGGGCCGACTTCTTTTCTCCTAATGGTGAAACCACCCAGAGAGTTTGAAGCTACATATTTGAGTATCGGGGTGGGGGGATGAGAAGAGCTTAAAGCCTTATTGCTGAAAATATTGAAATGAAGAAAAATTTCATAACTATGTACAGTTGCATTCTCTCATCCAACTGCCCACCTACCCACCATCCATCCACCCATCTACCTACCCATCTACCCACCCATCCACCCATCCACCCATCCACCCATCCACCCACCACCCACCCATCCATGCTTCTCCTACTAAGTGCTCCCAGGTGCCTGCTCTGAGTGCTGGGGAGGAGTCTGCTGGCACAGAACCCGTGCAACAAAGTGTCTGCAAGGAGCTGCAGCGGAGGACCAGGCCCTCGCCCTCACGCCCCTTCCGTATCTCAGCCCCTCGCCCTCACGCCTGGGTCTCTTCACCTGAGGCCCTGGGTAGATGAAGCTCCTCTCCCACCGAGCCGTCGAGGGCTCTCACGGGGGCGAGGGGACTCTGAAGATACTTTTCTCCTCTCTGACCACTCACCCTCCTCCCCTGACTCAGGGTTCAGGGCTTGTCTTGTCCAGGGCTTCCTCCCTCCACAGTGAGATGACCCCCGTCTTCCCTGATCTCCCTGGACTTGACAAGTGCCCATCGCCTGGGAAATGGAACCGAGGGGGCGGGGCAGGCAGCAGGCTGTCAGCCCTCCCACTGTTGGCTTGTTGCTTTAACTGGCTTTGTCCTCACCCAGCAAACGCCGCACAAGGACCGCCACGGGAGGGGCTGTGAAGACAAACTCAGCAGGTGAGGGCGGAGAGCAGGAAGGAGGGGGACGCCCTGGGGGTGAGTGAGCAGGGCCCTGAGGAAGCAGGGGCAGAGGGAGAGCCCCTCCCCCCGTCATACCAACCCTCCTCCCTCCCAGGACTAGAACCCTCCAGAGCAACAGCAACTTCCTGTCCTTCGTCCCAAGGAACAGCGAGACTCCAGTCTCCTTCCCGGAAACGTAATCACTCCCCTCCGTCAGCTCCCGACAGCGTTCAGGGGGCTCCTCCCAGGCCCCCTCTGCATCCTCGCCCACGTCCGCAACAGGAAGCAGTAGCTCAGGTGTCCCCATGAGCTTCTCCCCTCTAGCCGGTGGGCTCCAGACAAGCGGCTCCATCGCCTCCATGCCCCCAGGTGTGGAGCAGATCGCCCAACATAACTTTCCACAACGGGGTGTCCTGCTCACCCACCGTCCTATGAGCAGCCGCCCGCACGTGCCTGCTGAGCACCTGCGGTGTGGCAGGTGTAACTACCGTAATTACAGGTTAAGTGCAAACAGCCACGTGTGGCGGCGGCCACGGCCACTGCACAGCAGAGACTTAGCACGTGAATTGGGGCACAAAGCAACTGTCCCCTAAACGAGCTGGTGACGTGCATTTCTGCTGTGACTTGTGGGTCTCGCATTACCACTGACTTGCAAGCTGGTTAGGTGCCCGGAGAGCGGGTGCTGGTCTTACAGGGTCTGACCCT